TTGTATGAGTGAGTCAGAGCAGCAGAGAGGATACCCTGGCTGGAGCCCATGCACAATGGGGTCATGAGTCTTATCACCTAGAGCTTTGATTTGCACTACAGTTGGAAGGATAAAGAGATGAGGAAGTGTCCAGTGATGAGCTGCTCTGACAGAGGTCGGAGGGAGGAGTGACGGGCTGTGAGGAAAGATGAAACACTTATTGCACTGCAGCAGAAATGGATATGAAGAGGTTGTCACTGTGATTCAGAGACACGCGTCAGATAAGACAGAAATACAGATCTATTACTCCTACTTCTACAGCATCTGCAAAGTGATTTTATCCACTAGATCTCCATGGACAACGTGTGTCTTGTTGCCTGTATATTACATCGGTAGCATTTTGTTTTGATGAGGCAAATGCTGCTGTGAATTAGAGAGAATTTATAGCTTGATTATTGCAGTATTTATATAAAGAAGTGTATTTATTAATAAGGAACGGGCTTCACATTCACAGGGGAACCAGTGACTGTAGTCGTCTATGCTGATGTGGAGGCCAGGCTGATGGAGTACTACGCTGGAGCTAAGTGCAGTGTCATTTAGGCTCCATCTTAAGTGACGCCCGTGGCAGGTTATTTATGTGTGTGGCTGCCCTTGCCTTGGGATCACTGCTGCACTAGACTGTGTCGGCCTCTCTGTGCTGCTCGTTTTTGATGACTGCATGTGAACTGCATGAACCCCCCCCCCCCATTATATTCTTTAATATGAAGAGGGTCATATTTTAGATAATTTGAGTCACATTTGATAAACACAAAGACACAGACTTGCTTGAGGACACTGCAGCCGTCTTTAGGACCACAAGCCTGTTCTGCTGCCCAGGAATGTAACTCTCATTAAAATGCACATTTTATGAATAAAGAATATAAATTGCAAAGTAATTATTGTGGAGGTTTTTAGTTTGTTTAACACGGTGTCCATAGACTTTTCATTATGTTGACAGTACATTAAACTGAGAATGTTAATCACAACTGGGACTTAAACATTCATCAAACTGCTGTTGCTATGGAAACAATATTTATACAGAGTCTTGTGGGGAAAAAAATCCAAAATGGTTCCTATAACCAGACAGGTGAACAATCAGCAGAGCAGATTTGAATCCTCAATTCAAATTCGTTGGATGTAACACGTCATTTTTGCGGTCGGTGTGTGGATGAGTGAGTTGCTGGTAAATTAATAAAGTCAAACACGAGGAGGTCTGTCAAACTTAAGTAGTGCTCGTGTATAATATGAGTATTTCCAGTTTCACTTAAACACATCAGATTAATAGATAATCAGCATGAGAAGAATCAGTGTAATGTCTACAATCACTTTTTATTAGTCTTTTAAAAATATTTCATTTTTTATCATTTCTACCTACTTTTCTTTATTTTGTTTTTTCCTGCTCTTGTTTTGACTTTTATATTAATGAGATTTATACGGAATAAATGTTGTTGACATCATCTTGCAGTGGTCCATCTGACTCTGCATAGATTATTCAAAGGAGCCATTGTGGCTGTCCTCCATTAGATGCATTCAGCCAGTGATCTATTCTGCTTAAGGCTATCAGGACAGCCTTGCCCTGCCAGCTGTTGTGACCGACTTTGCCTGTCTGTTTTGGACGGATTTCCCAGACCTCAGCTTCACCCCAAAATAATGTCGCTTCGCTTTCACAGTGAAATGTTGGTCCTGACTCTCTCTTCACTGAATTTGTTGCTTGTACCAAGACTCCATTCACAGCTACTGGTCCTTGCTGCTCAACTAAAAGCAGTGTGCTCCATATTCTCTGACATCCCTCCAGTTTCCTTTTTGGTACATGAAGCCACGGCTGCAGATTCATTCACTGTCAGATCGCTGTTATCTCTAGGCTCTACCCCAAATTTTACACAAGAGAGCTGTGGTTACTGACCTAGCAAACCCTGTTTAGTCTCATTTTTTATGAGTCACTTGCTCCTTCAATATGTCTCCACAACAATACATATTTCAGTGATAAACATAATACACAAACGGTTATTTTCCAAATCTATATGAAGCAGTGAGGCAATATTTTAAGGTTAAATCTGAAATAAAAACAGATCCACATCAGAATGCATTTCTGTATTTGTTACTTTATCCTTGGAGAGCTGTTATAAAACAAACATCATCATAATGATATTTGTTATTTGGTGTTGACATTTTATCCAATTCATATTAATACAGATACTGTATGGACTGTTTTTACTTTACAGTGGGTGATTACTGTGAGTTAATACATGATTTTCCTCATTAACATATCCAGATTATGTTTTGATCTTAAGTAATTAGAGATCCAAATGACCACCACTGCTCTGACGGATAAATAAATCATTCTAATTAACATAAAGTAATCCATACATCTCCATTACATCTATCTTAATTTAATTATGAGCTTAACTGAGTTATAATTTTAAATCCCAAGATCCGAAACCAGGTCAAATGTATAATCAAACTCCCTTTTGCATGTAAACATAAAGGTTTGTGTGAGATCAT